ATTAACAAAATCTATTTGATTTTTTTATTTCAGATGAGTTGTTCCAGAGTTATCATGCTCACCACTGAAAAAAATTTATTTTTGCAAGACGGCTATATTTTCTTTATTTTTATATTTACATTTAGACTCAAAAAAATTATTATAAGTACTTCAATGTATATACTATTAGATGCCATGAAGCACATTTCAATAAATGTTTGTCTATACTGCTAAAAAAAATCGTGAAAACCATCTTATTTTCCGCATCCCAACTGAGTATACCCCTCAATACTAGCTAATAACTAAAAAGTGACTCACTGTGTCTGATGCCGACTGGCCAACATATCAGGAACCGATTCTTGAATTATTCATGGTAATGTTTGCGATACGGTGCTTTGTAATCGTGGTGAGCGTCCTTATTTTCAGGATTAATTATATTTTTAAATAATTAATTATATTTTTAAAGTTTTTTGATAAATTAGTTTCAATATTCTCTACAGGGATGGCACGAAAAACAAAACTCGAGAAAAGTTTCGGCCCAGAAACAAAACCAAATGAAAACGCTGTACATTTTGTTTCGCGCCCGATGCAAAACAAAAGTAAATGATTAAGGTTTTGTAGAAAAAATAAAACTCGAGAAAAAAGTTTCGACCCAGGAACAAAACCAAAAGCAAACACTGTACATTTTGTTTCGCGTCCGATGCAAAACGAAAGTAAATGATTAAGGTTTTGTACTGAGAATCGAAAATATATAATAAATATACCGAAAAGAATTCTGTTTTCGCCTCTAGTGTGAAATTAAATGCGTCAGCAACAAAACATTTAATTATATTATATATTAATATAATCGTCGTCGTCCGAACTCGTTCGACGTCATTCAATGCCATCGACGCCGACGATGACGCCGACCGAAGTCGACGACGACCGACGATTACCTATGACTACCGACGAGTGACTACCGACGACGACGACGCCGACGACGATGACGACGCTGACCAACGCCATTCATCCAGTATTTTAGCCGTAATTTCAGCATAAAGAAATTCGTCTTCAACTAGAGATCTCCATAGTTTCTCCTGTCGACTCTTATGCCCTTTTCCACCAATGTAGATTAAATTTGATCTCGGTTCAACTTAGTCTTTATCTTTTTCTAATTTTTAGAACTAGAAAAAGATGAAGAGTAAGTTTAACCGAGATCAAAATTAATTTACATTGGAAACGGGCATTAAGGAATTGATCAGTCGATTATTCTTCTCACCTTCGACTGTGATTGATCAATTTCTTAAGGCTTACTACTCTATTGTGTTTGCGGAATTATGTAAATCGTTGTATATCGTTGTTTATTTCCCTTCTTTTTCATTTTCCTTTTCTTTCTTTTTGTTTAATTCTGGCATTTAAAATCTCGATGTAGGGGAGCTCATCATGATAGGATAACTTTTACTTTATATATGATAATTTGTGTTTGCTCTGAGGAAGGCTAAAAAATGAGTCGAAACATATAAGCGCGTTTGTTAAATAAAGAAGTTTCAAGCTTCATAAGTGTATTATTTGTGCGACGTCTTCTGTGCCTAACTCGTAACGCCCGTATTCTTTCCAATTCTTTGATTTATAAGCTAATATTCTCTTTATATTTGAGGCTTAAGTGCCCTGTACACTCTTGATATTGTTGTTAAAATTATATAGTCCCTGCAAAGATAATTAATTTAGAAGTAGTATAATATGTTTAATATTTACACTTCAAAGAAACTATATAATCTATATACACATGAAAGTTGTACGAATAAGATTATATTTATTAATAACATATTTTTGTAGTTTATTTATTTTGTTTGTTATTATTTTTATTATAGATAAAAATTAAAATTTCAAAAATTATAAAAAATTTACATTTCTTTTAATAAGTACTTTAAATATTTAAAATAATTTATGCAAAGTTTCATTGCGATTCACTGATTAATTACAAAGATATAAACCAAATAAATATTTTGTTTATTTACTAGTTCATGCATCACAATTAATATAACTCTACGTAAATAATCTTGAATTCTTATGTACTTATATTAAAACATTGAAATTTTTATCATTTATTTTATAATACATTTCTATATATCTTTATTACAGTATAGATTAAAAAAATACTACTATTTATTAAAATAACTTACAAGCCAGGTAGTAAACCGTCATCACATTTGTCGTATTATTTTAAAACGTAATTTAGAATAATCTGTACATTTTTCATAATTTTTAAAATATGTACAAAACATCCTTAAAATAAAATTTTTTATTTGTTTTAATAGAAAGTTTTGTTTTAGAGGTTTCAGAAATAAAATGATATACTTCTCTTTTTCCACTTCCTCTCCTAATCCTTTGAATTTTGCGTCAAGATGAATAACATAAAAATTGTTGGGAAATTCCCAGCGGTTTTATAATTAAAATATTTTAATTATTTTTTTTATCAGTATTCTACGTCGATATACGCAAATATTAAAGCAACCTTAGGTTAAAATATTGGAATTTAACAAAATGGATGCAAAACGAAAATCATGTTTTTTATTTTTAACTTTTTTTTTGAGCACTATCTTCCTAAAAAAGAAAGGATTAAATGATAAATACAAACAAATTGTAATTTACAAACTGCAAAAAAAGTGTTAATAATAATTGTGCAAAATCAAGCAGTTGAGCCGTTTTACAGGATGCGAGAGTTTCCTGCAATTTTGTAAAAATGATTTTGAAAAAAACAACTTTAATATGAAATAGTTTAGTATTACGTATGTGAAGCATTCTGTAATAGCCAAAGTTTGTTTATTTCGACTCCTCCAACTTATCCCAAAAGTCCTAACACATTAACAGATTAGAAACCAGTCTCTTGAAATAACCATAATATACAGTTGGCTGTCATCTCCCCTACCTGCATGATTTTCTATGCAATATCTCAGAAAATGTCCATTATTTCAAATTTTTTTTTTTCAAAACCGCTGTGAGAGTTTTTATGCTACACATATATAGGATTAAAAGAAATGCAATTTAAAAGATATTGATTTATTTACACTCTCAATGAGAAAGATTCTTCATAATTTTTTTACTTATTTCAAATTCTTTATTTTTTAGATTTATAAAATAACAAAATGCCTGATAAAGGTCTTCATATATAAAAGAAAAACATGTAATGAATATATGATAAAGCTACATATTAACTTCAAGGATATTGATTTACATAATAACAATATATTAATTATCTCTAGCACATCATATTTATAAAAACGGTCAAAATATTCTTAGAATGTTTTAAAATATCTCCAGTACCTTTCTTTTACTTGTTGATAGAAATAAATTGGAAAATTTTCGAGTACATAAGCAATGAGATTCATAATATAAAAGATTCTACTGCGTAAAAATGGTAATCATTTTGTAAAACATGACGATTGGTATAATCGAAATAAGATTTCAAGGGAGTGGATTTTTCCGTCAGGAGTTCTGCAGGAATTCTATCTCGATTTATCAATTGCTGCACGTGAGATTTTTGAGTATAGATTAAAACGTGTTTTATAATATTTCGGATATATCACATGTCGTACAGAACGGACGAAAAATTTAATCGTGCGAGTGGTCTTGGCCCGAACCTCGAAATTTTTTGCAGCATCCAATTGTAATTGGTTAGACCAAGGGTCGAGCGAGCTTCAAACATCGTCGTGAAAACATACGCTTTCCAGTGCGCTTTTAAAGAGGATACTAATATATGATCATTCTCGAGGTTACGACTTGTTTCCTGTTGTCTTCTAGATTCAATAAATTATTCATGTTGCATCAAGAAACGTCTAATGCTAAATCATAAAAAGTTTAATTAATATTTTTCTTAATCATTGTTTTGTTTGTTCTATGGGTTATCAAAGAAGGAAGAAATAACTATTATAACGTTTGAAAATATTTAGAGTTATATTTCAGACAAAAAGTACAGCTTTAAATGAGAAAATATTTTAAAATATGTATTGTATATCCATATATATCCTTCGAAGTTTTTCATTTTTTCACGTAGTTGTAAAACTCTCTTTATACTGATTTAAAACGGAATGTTAAAAGGAAAGTATTTAAAGTTTATCGCACTAAAACATAGAAACAAAACAGTTATTTAAAAAATATATACGTCATTCGAATATTTGTCTAATATCTATTGTTCTTCAAAGTCCATTTTAAATAATGTATAATTTGCAATAATTATTTGCTTACATGACATGTAAAATTGTATGTAGAATTCTATCCTGAATTTGAATACGATTTACAGTTCATTTAAAATTAAAATTTAACGTACATTATCCAAGAGAAATAAAGTTATTTTAAAAAATGTTTAAAGATCTCAGAGTTCTAAAATATTCATGTATGACAGATGATATCATAAAATGTAAAATACCATGCATATTCTAATACTTACGGTGTGAAAAGTGCTACTCTCTGTCCAGTGCTGAGTTTACAAATAGCGTTCATTTCATCGGATGTTAAGGTGAAATCAATAAATTCCATGTTTTCCTTAATTCGACTTTTAGTTACAGACTTAGGTATTGGAGCAGTTCCGTGTTGGTACTACAAAAATAAAATATGACTGTATACATCTGTTTTAATTACATGAAAGAAACAGTTCTATCAATGACAATCTTGTGTTTCGCGGGTTTTCTCCGTGTTCAAATCCATTCTTGGAATGCCAACGTTTCGTGAACCTTGCAGTCCACTTCATCAGGGCGAAGAGCAGCCTGATACTAAGCTGTTCTCCCGGGTCGTTCCCTTTATATTACCCTCACTGGAAAAACTGAATCACACA